TTTTTTTTTTTTTTTTTTTTTTTTGGATTTTTCGAGACAGGGTTTCTCCGTAGTCTTTTGGTTCCTGTCCTGGAACTAGCACTTGTAGACCAGGCTGGCCTCGAAGTCACAGAGATCCACCTGCCTCTGCCTCCTGAGTGCTGGGATTAAAGGCATGCGCCACCACCACCCGGCCTGTTTGACTCCTTTTGAAAATTCATTTTTATTTTTTAATTCTCATTTTATTTTATGCACATCTTTTTTGTGCACAATTTGTGTGCAATACCTGTAGAGGGATCCCTGAAACTGGAGTTACAGATAGGGTGAGCTGCCAGGTAGGTGCTAGGACTGAACTCAGGTTTTCTAGAGGAGCAGCCAATGCTCTTAGACACTGAGCCACCCCCTCTTCAGTGACTTCTTGAGATGACTTCTGGAGGCAAACGCGACCTCCTGCTCTTTGGCCTTGGCCTACGGACTTCATTTCTGCTCGGAGAAGAGACGCTGACCCAGAAGACATCTGATTCCTCCAGCAGTTGTTCTCAAAAGCAGTACCTTGTCTCTACCATCGGCCCATTGAACACTGTGACGCAGGAGGAAGGGAGGGAGGGGAGGAGTTCTTCTAGGCCAATGTTCACAGAGTCCAGGAAAGTAGTCACCTACTCCAGGGCTGGGGTCATGGGGTCGAAAATGGAGCCTTTGCACCTTGGTTCAGCGTTGTTGTTTCTAGAAGCAAAGTGAATGACAGAGTTTCCTTCCAGGCTTTAGGGGTTCTCACAGGGGTGCCGTCTAAGATAGCCTAGGCCATCAACCCAGAACCCACCCCTCCCTCACACACTCCAGGCTAGTTACCTGCCTTCGCTGTTCTTTCCCTACCCACCCCTTCTTTCTTTTCAGGGTCTCCCTAGTATCCTGCTCTGGCCCTGAGCTTGAGGTTGCCCTGCCGCAGTCCCCCAGAGTCCTGGAATTACAGATATGCCCCATCTCCCACAACCCGCATCTCTGCTGCCACGATAGACAGGGTAAACCGTTAGGTTGGGAAGGGCAGAGGAAAAATCAGAATTACCTTAATTTTACTTGTGGATTTTCCTTTAGTCTCGTCACTTCTGAATTCCTATAAAAACCATCTTGCATCTTGCAGCTAACATCCCCATGACTATATTTCCAATTTAAATTCTTCGGACCTGCATGGTTCTGGGGCTTTGGGACTTAAAGGACCTGCTTTTAAACATGGAGAAACATTACAAACTCCCCCTGAACTAATTTTGACTTGACAGAAGTCACTTCTGATGGTCCCTCCCACTTTCCTGTTTTATATCTTTACGGGGTGCAGAAATACACACAGGTACGGGAGAGCGCACTGAACGGTCACAGAAACGGGAGTACGGAGTCTACAGCCATTCCTAACCCTCATCTACACGGTAAATAATCTTCCAGTGTTCAAAACAAATGATGAGTCTTTCCTTTCTCTCTTCTCTCTCCCCTTTTCCCCTTCCCCCAACCCCACCCTCAGCCCTACCCCCACCCCTACGCTCCCAATTTTGGGGGAGTGGGAGGGTGGAGATGGAGGAAGGGCAGATATAGGAGCAGGGAAGAAGATATCTATATTAAGGGAGCCATTTTAGGGTTGGCAAGAGACTTGGCTCTAGAAGGGTTCCCTGGTGTCCAAGGGGATGTCTCCAGCTAGGTCCTTGGGCAGCAGAGCAGAGGGTGCCTGAACTGACCTTGTCCCATAGCCACACTGATGAATATCTTGAATATCACCACAGAATTTTCGTCCAGCTACGGATGGAGATAGAGAGAGACCCTCATCAGAGCAACGGACTGAGCTCCCAAGGTCCAGCTGAAGAGCAGAAGGAGGGAGAAGATGAGCAAGGAAGTCAGGACTGTGAGGGGCTGGTCCACCCACTGAGGCAGTGTGCCTGATCTAATGGGAGCTCGCCAAATCCAGCTGGACCAGGACTGAACGGGCATGTGATCAAACCAGACTCTGGATGTGGCTGACAATTGGGACTGACTGAGAAGCCATTGATAAAGGCACTGGGACTTGTTTCTACTGCACGTGCTGGCTTTTTGGGACCCTAGTCTATTTGGATGCAAAGCTTCCTAAACCTGGATGTAGGGGGGAGGGAGGAGGGGGAGTGGGGAAGCGGGAGGGGAATGGGAGGAGGGGAGGAAGTGTAAATTTTTGAATGGGAAAAAAAATTAAAAACAAAACAACAACAACAAAAACCAAAAACCACGATGAACAAGGGGCCAGCCAGACAAATGAGTAAAACGTTGCTGGCCCTCCTTCTGTCTTGAGTGGATCCCGAGCCCACACAGTGGAAGAAGAGAACGGACTCCCCACCCCCTTATTCTCTCTGGTCTTCACATTTGTATCATGGCACTTGGGTACCCCCATACAATAATTAAATTTAATAAACAAAAGGCAAACAATATCACCATGGAAACAGTCTCTGTGTGTCCGTGAGGGCTCATATATGTAAGATACATAAGACAATGCCTTGTAGCATTTCTCTCTGTGACGATCCTCCTGTGGCCCTGGCAAACCTGTAGTCACTCTGAGTGACACTGCTCTCACGGGACGGAAGCTTGGCTCCTCATCTCCTCACAGTCCAGGATGGATTGCAGCTCCACCGACAGTAAGGGGTTGAGACCAACCGTGGCTCAGGGCTTTACAGTCCAGGCCTGGAACTAACTGCCTTCACCTAGGTTTGGCTTCTCCTAAGCGAGAGGCTGAGGAGGGCCAGCTAGGTAGGTGTCAGGGAGGGAGAGGCAAAGAAGACTTGGTGTCCAGCAGCTGCAGCACACCGGACCAGAGTCCTCCGAGTGAGTGGAGTCAGGGAGAAACCCTAAACTGACCGGGAAAGGGCCGTGGCATAAGTTTTAGATTACGACAGTGGGTGGACAGCCTTCAAGTCACAACCCAGGGGACACGGCACTTCAGGTGCCTGAAGGTCCTACTCTAACTTCTTCATCTCCTTCCTTTGCCTAGCCTCCTGAACACAGCCCTCCCTACCTTACCAACCATGTCCATTCCTCCGATTCAGTCACCCCTGGTCTCCTTGGGTCTTTGCTCACATGGCCGCCTTTCGACTGTGCGCTCAGCATCTGAGCCCTGTCCTGCTGTCTGTGCCCAGGATGACCGACCCTCTTTAGCGCTTCCCCTAGAACCAGCTCCTGTTCCTCTCACCTCCATCTGACCTTCTTTCTCCTGGGCATTTGATTTGCTTTAATTTTTTAAATTAAAGTTTTAGGATGCTAAGGATTGAACTCAGGGTCTGTAAAAGCTGGGCAAGCTCTCTACCATTGAGCTACACCTGCTGAGCCTCCTTCCCCCCCCACCCCATTTGTGTGGGCGCATGTGTAAACGCACGTGTGCATGCTTGTGTGGGGACACACAAGTGAATGGTGACGTGTACCTGCAAATGGCAGGCTGAGGTTGGTGTCAGGAATCTGTTTTCATTACTCTCTACCATGTTCATTGAGGCAGGGCCTCTCATCCAAACCCAGAGCTTCCGGCAATGACTAGTTTCGCTAACCACCTACTCTGGGGCTCGCCTATCTCTGCCTTCTCAAGCTAGAATTACAGACGGGCCTCCATGCGCACCTGGTATTTTCGTGAGATCTGAGGATTCAAACTCCAGTTCTCACAGCTGGTTGGCAAGCACTTTAAGCACTGAGACGTCTCTTCAGGCCTTCTTGGTGACGAAATCCCTCAGGTAATCAATTTAAAAAGAATAAAGATTTATGGCTGGAGAGATGGCTCGGAGGTTAAGAGCACTGACTGTTCTTCCAGAGGTCCTGAGTTCAATTCCCAGCAACCATATGGTGGCTCACAGCCATCTATAATGAGATCTGGTGCCCTCTTCTGGCCTGCAAGCATACATGGACGGAATGTTGTATACATAATAAATAAATGAATCTTTAAAAAAAAGAATAAAGATTTGTTAGGCTTATAATTACAGGTCTCACTCCCCATGCAGAGAGCTTGGCTGCCTTCAGGTCTATGGCAAGGCAAATGTCATGGTAGTGAGTATGTGGAAGAGGAGGTCTGGCCACCTGGGAGAGGTTGAGGGGCAGGGTCCCAATACCCTCTTCAAGGCCAGTCTCCCAAAGTCCTTCCCTCATTCAGCCCCACTTCTCACCAGCCCCAGTACCTGCCAGTAGTGACATAGGCTGGTGACCAAGTTTTCCACACATGGCTTTTGTGAGTCATTTCAGTTCTGAAACTTAACAGATGCTAATGACGTGACAGAGATTTGGGGCTGGCTGACAGAGGACAAGATGTGTGCTATGGTTTGACTGCGTCTCCCCAGAAGGCAGGAGCTACTCCTCAGTGCAGTAAGAACTGAACTCTTGGCATTCTCGAGGAAGAGGGTTCATCTAATGACCACAGCAAGTTCCTTTCCACAGGTCAAATTCAGCCCTCTCCACCCTACTGCAGAAGGGTGCGAGGAGAGCACCTGGGACCTTGGAAGAGCAGGCAATGCTCTTAACCTCTGAGCCATCTCTCCAGCACTGAGATAGGGTTTCATATATCCAGGATGACTTCAAACTTGTATGTAGCCAAAAAGAACTTTGAACTTGGTATCCTTCTGCCTCTGCTTCTGGAGGGCCAAGGTTACTGTCCCACTAATGCAGGGTTTCATGTGGTGTTGGGGATGAAATGCAAAGCTTTGTGTGTGCTGAGCAAGCACTGTGCCAATGGAGCCATGTCCCTGGCACCTACAATGTCCCTGCTGATAAATGAGGATGCACACAGGTTCGGCTGAGTTTTGAATGATAACACGATCCTAGTAAACTAACAGGAACAGCTGGGCCATAGCCAATCTATCAGAAACCTGGTCCACAGGCTGGCATCTGAAATGGGAGCAGATTTATGAGGCTGAGTCCTAATCCTATGGGACTGAGCCCTAATCCCAAGGAGAGCCCGTCAAGGGTTGAAATAAACTGTAAGGAACCCAGTGTGTGTGTGAGACCTGACTGGCAAGGGCCACACTTGTTGGTGTTCAGGGAGAAGGATCTGTGTTCAGTAATGTATTAATTGTGTGTAAGAGTGCAAAAGAAATTGTTTTTCTTCTTTTCCTTTCCTTTAATTTATTCATTTGTTTTGAAACAGAGTCTTGCTGCGTAAGCTAGCTGTCCTAGAACTTACTAAGTAAATCAGCCTGGCCTTGAACTCACAGACCTCGTGGGTGCTGGTATCGAAGGCTTGCACCATTAAGCCTACTTTGGTTTTTCTTCTTTTAAGTGTGATATCAAATGCTTTAAGACAAGTTAAACACTAGGTATAAAAGAAAAAGAGAACGCTAGATATTTTCGTCTTATTCTGAAGATCCGTCAGTGTAGATATTTACGTCTTATTCTTAAGATCCGTCAGTGCCGGGTGCAGGACCCATGGCCTTGTATGTGCGAGGCCAGCACTCTACCCGTGGAGACACATCCTTAGGACCTTAACTACTACAACACGATAATCTGGCTGGTTTAAAACACAGAAGCTGTTTTTGGTTTTTCAAGACAGGATTTTTCTGTGTAGTTCTGGCTGTCCTGGAACTCACTTTGCAGACCAGGCTGGCCTTGAACTCACAGAGATCCACGGGCCTCTGTCTGGGATTAAAGGCGTGGGCCACCGTGCCTGGAAAACGCGGAAGCTTTAAGGAGACGCAGTCATATATATATATCCTAAACGTTGGTCTGATGAGGAAATTCTCCAGAGCCTTATTTATGTCGTCTAGAAAATGGGACCTGGAGAAGAAGCTGTAAGTTGGTAAGGAGAGTCAAAATTTAAAAAGAGAAAGCTGTTGTTTTTTTTTTTTTTAAATCTTCACCAGACCTGACTCACTTGAAATGAGAGGAAAAACTGATAGAATGGTTTAAAAGGAAATGTTTGACTAAAGCTTGCCTGCTGTACCCATAGCTACCTGCCCACAAGACTGTGGCTCCCTGGTGACAGCTGCACTAACTATAGAAAAGCAAGTGGAGGATGAATTATGTAAATTTACATTGACTGAGGATCCTGCTGGAACATTCAGGAATCTTCATTATCAAAATAAAATGTGGATTTTTCTTACATTGAAAAGCAGTTAGAAGACAACATGTAACCTGCTATAGTCTTTGGATGAGATATGGGTCAGTCAAAATAACATTGAATCACCGTAAATTATTTGGAGATAACAGCCATTTTTGTGAATTTGATAGGAAGCATCAAACGGCTTTTTGGCTTAAATTTAATATATTTTTAAAAAACAAATATTTACATTTTCTATAAATCTTCATTGGTAAATAAAATAGAAACCTTCATGTCCTCTGCTTCGTTCCAGTCAGTTTTCTTATTTTTTTAAAATGTCAACCCAATTTAGGAATTTTATTAAAATCATGGAAATAAGAAAGAATAAAAAGCTTCCTTAAAAAAAAAGTCAGGGGAGTGGGAGGGAAGTGGGAGGAGAGGAGGAAGTGGGAATTTGGACTGGTTTTTTTTGTTTTTAAGTAATAAAATAAAATAATAATAATAATAAAAAGAATCAAAAAAGTCAGGCTTAATATGTGTATTTGTGAACGTAGCTATGAAATCAGATGCCTTAATAAGAATGTGTGACACAATTCTTCACACTGAAAATTTAATAAAAGCAGTCTTAGTGAGCATGCTAGCAGAAGCAAATGAAACTGGTATTTAAAGTGTTTCTTGGGAAAGCATTATTCAACATCTAATTGAACATGCTATAATTTAAAATGAATCCTTTTTTTTTTCCTTCTCAGACATGTTGGGAATGTAGCTACACTGTATTTACCAGCCCCTCTCTCTCCAGACACAGAACCACGACAGGGAGAGCAGCTAGATGCTATTCGCTGTGTCTGAGCAAGGGTAAGGACCAGCCTCATACATTAACTCCTCTCTCCATCCTCAAGGATGTGTCAGCAGTCCAGTGGGGGAATGCTGCAGTCTTCCTCCACACCCGCATCTCTCCAGATCTGGGCTGTATGTGGATAAAGGACATGGTGGTGTGAGGGTTCCCACTTGTTCCCACTTACCCCTGACACAGCACTGTGATCAGGGAGGTGCCTTACAAACATGAACTAATTAAGAAGAACGATACTGCTTCAAGGTACTTAGCAGGATGCAAAAATGAAAACCCACAAGCTAGCCAAGTCAGTGTAAAGCACTGAATGGGTAAAGCAACACTGCCTAAGGCAGGCAGCAGGGCTCTGTTCTCTTTCTTGCTGGAGGGTCTTTGGTGGAATCTCAGGGAGCTATATTTGAGGTCAAGGTGTGTGTATGTGTGGGGTGGGGTATTACTTGTGTGGAGATGCCTCAAAGGACTGGACGAGTCCAGCCATCACATACATCTGCAAGAGTGAAATGTCCTACTAAATCATGTTAGAGGCTTCAAGGATACAACCCTTTTAGAAGTGCCAAATCAATGCAAAGTTTAATTAATCTACTACAGATAAACTTCACGTGGAGAAACCCAAGAGAAAAGTCATGCTGGGAAACCAGACAGGCTGCAGGAGAGAGGTAGGAGAAGGACCGCAGGGATAACCTTCAGTTTTTGTTCTCCTAGGAGGCCAGGAGACAGAGGAGGGCACAGCGAGCTCCCTGGCATCTGACTGCACAGACTTCTCTGGCCCTTTCTTTAAAGGGGCGCTTACAGGATCCATACAGCACAGTGGCCCATGAACTGAGGCCCCATGATGTAGGTAGGTCTTCTTTCTATGTGTTGCTTTCATTGATTGGTTAACTAATAAAGAAACTGCTTGGCCTGATAGTGTTTAAAAGAATACAATTTGTGTGTTGTTAATTCGGGGCATAAGCTAGCCAGGCGGCCGGGAGCCGGGAGCCAGGCAGCAGGAACGCAGCCTGCCACTCCTTCTACAGCCCCAGCTTCTGGAAGAGGGACTGGAACACAGCAGACTTTGCACTAAGGGAAGTGGCTAACCAATAAGAGCATGTTTAAGATACAGTGTTCAAATTTCATATCTCAAGTTCATCAGTTTTAGGGGGGGGTTCTGTTAGCAAAGAAATAAAATACTGGCCACGTTTGTCTGATATTGATTTTCATGGGAGATCATGGCGTAGTTGCTGAAGGAAAACGAAATAAGAGGGTGGGGAGAGCTTCATCTGTAAAGTAGTTCCATGTATGGTCAAGAGCCAAGTTCAATCCCCAGGGCACTGTCACCTATATCTCTAAACACAGCACGGTGGGAGACAGACACGCAGATCCCTGGGGCTAGCGAGCCAGCCAGTTTAGCCTCACAGGGAAATTCCAGGACAAGGAGTGATCCTATCTCCAAGTCCAAGATGGACATTTCCGTTGGGATGACATTTGAGGTTGCCTTCCAGCCTCAACATGCATCACACACATGCACAGGAACACGAAAACACACACGCATGGAAACAAAAGTAAGCACAAATTTAAGTACATACTTCTAAGTATACTCTTCGTGTACTTTAAATTTTACAGTTATGACTGTAGAGAAGTTTACATTGGTAACTGATGCTTCTGTATTGCCTTCAAATAGCTCTGATTATTACTTTTAAAAGTCTGAAAATACCCTCCCAACTGTATAGTTTTATGTTTGTAAATATATTTTATACATATTAGAAATCCTGTAATTGAAAACAAGAAAGAATGAGAGAAAATATAAGACAGGCCTTATCTCTCCCTATCTTCCCCAGGGTCTACACATACACTCCTGGGCTGTGCACAGATCACCCCAGGACCTTCAGGTACACCCCTAGTCTGTGCACAGATCACCCCAGGATCCTCATGTTCCTGGGCTGTGCACAGATCACCCCAGGACCTTCAGGTACACCCCTAGTCTGTGCACAGAGAACTCCAGGGTCTTCATGTACATCCCTGGACTGTACACAGATCACCCCGGGGTTCTTCATGTACCCCAGGCTGATGTGGGAAAGTCATATGTCAATCTAATGATGTGGGAAGTGTCATATATCAATCTGTTGATTTCATTGGTTAATTAATAAAGAAACTGCTTGGCCTGATAGGTTAGAACATAGGTGGGTAGAGTAAACAGAACAGAATGCTAGGAGGAAGTGAGGCAGACATCATGCCTCCCCTCTCCAGAGCAGACGCGATGAAGCAAGCCACCAGGTCAGACATGCTGAATCTTTCCCAGTAAGACTGGTGCTACACAGATTACTAAATATGGGTTAGGCAAGATGTGAGAATTAGCCATTAAGAGGCTAGAACCAATGGGCCAAGCAATGTTTAAAAGAATACAGTTTCCGTGTAATTATTTCGGAGCATAAGCTAGCCAGGCAGCCGGGAGCCAGGTGGCAGGAAAGCAGCCCGCTGTTCCCACTACACTAGACTGCGCACAGACCACTGCAAGGTCTTCACGTACACCCCATGAACTGTGCACATATCACCCCAGGGTCTTCATGTACACCTCTGGGCTGTGCACAGACCACTCTGGAGATTACCACCTTACAAGTAACTTTCGATGAAGTCAGTGCCCAATTTGTCACACTGCTGGGAGAAGAATTTGGTGCTTGTAATGGGAGAGCAACGGTCACAGCACAAACTGTCACAGACTGATGAGATGGCTCATCGGGTTGCTTGCTGCCCAGCCTGACAAGCAGAGTTCTGCCTCTGGGACCTCCTGCAAGCTGTCCTCTGACTACCATTTGTGCGCCTGGCATGCCCCCCACCAAGGAAATAAATGAATGTTAAAAAATAAAAGTGGCTGTAGCAGCACATAGATCGAAAAGTACAACTGAAGCCAGAGTTACGGATGCTAACACAGTAGGAAGGATACTGCAGTTCCCAGCCCCCTCTGCTGCACTCTGCTGTCCTGTGAGAGGCACCACCCAGGCACGCTGCTCTATGAAGACGCTCTGTGTAATATGGAACTGCAAAGAATAGGGAGGTTGCCATTTGGGACGAGGACAGTGGTAGGCGCTTTCCCCATTTCCTCGTGGTAAGATGTGAGCTCGGGGTCTCAGAAATTTCAGTGAGAGGAGGCTTGCTCTGAGTGGGGGTGGTGAGGGGTTGCAGGATGGAGGAGGTGCTGAAGAAAACGTAAATGGAGCCCAAGGAGGAAAGGATGCATCTGAGGAGAGACAGGAGTTCATACGGGGTCCCCAGGAGTAAAGGATGCTTCTCTCAGAGGAGAGACAGGAGCCCAAACGGGGTCCCCAGGAGGAAAGGACACATCTATCTGAGGAGAGACAGGAGTCCCCAGGAGGAAAGGACACGTCTATCTAAGGAGAGAGAGAGGAGTCCATATGGGGTCCCCAGGGTGACAAGGCTCCCTTCCTACTTCTTCCCTTCCACCTCCCCTTCTATCTCTCCCGCCCTTCCTCATCTTCCACCCCTCTTTCCCATTTGCCTTCCCTCGATGGACAAGGTCTTATGTGAACCAGACAGAATGGCCTAGAGCTCAGGATCCACTTGCCTCATTCTCCCGAGCAGCCAGGGCAGCAAACCTTTCCGGTAAGAGGTGTTGGGGGGGCGGTGCTAGGCTTTGAGGGTACATATGACGATCTGAGTTTGAGCCCCAGAACCCACATGACAGAAGAGCAGAACTTTCTCCCACTAAGTTGTCTGACCTCTGCATGTGCACTGTCCCCCATCACACACAGACACACACACACACACACACAGACACACACACACACACACAACATAAGAATGAAAGCCCTAGGCCAGGCGATGGCGGCGCACACCTTTAATCCCAGCACTCGGGAGGCAGAGGCAGGCGGATCTCTGTGAGTTCGAGACCAGCCTGGTCTGAAGAGCTAGTTCCGGGGACAGGCTCCAAAGCCACAGAGAAAACCCTGTCTCGAAAAACCAAAAAAAAAAAAAAAAAAAGAAAGCCCTAAACAAACAAAACCCACATGAACTACAACAACAAAAACCCAAATTAAAAAATGCTTTGTCATTCGAGGCGGCTTGGAGACTTTGAAAAACCCATAAACAAGAGGAAATAGTCAAGCTGGCTGCCTTTCCCGAAGCAAGAACAATAATTATATTTTATGGCAACCAATAAATGATAAGGAAGCATACTTTTAAAAAAATTAATTCTAGTTAATCAGTGAAGAAGGAACAGCAATGTTGCCACCCTGGGGAAACATCACTGGGCCCAGATTCTGCTCATCAATGGCTGTCGAATCTGCTGTTGAAAACCAATGGGGGACTTTCGTTGTTTGTGTTTTCTTTTCTTTTCTATTTTTTTGAGGGGGTGCGTTTCAAGACAGGGTTTCTCTGTAGTTTCGGAGCCTGTCCTGGAACTCACACTGTAGACCAGGCTGGCCTCAAACTCACAGAGATCAGCCTGCCTCTGCCTCCCTAATGCTGGGATAAAAGGCGTGTGCCATCACTACTGGGCTCTAACAGGGAATTTTATAATGGACTCAGGCTGACCACACCTGAGCACACTGATCATTCTTAATAGTACAAAGCAGAGGGGAGGAGCCACTGTGTGTCTTTGTAACCCACAGGAAAGCAAACACACTGAGGTTAAATATTATTTCTCCTCACGTCGTGTGGAACCTGACAAAGTTTCTAGCCTTTTTTGGAAACAGGGTCTTACATATGCCAGGCTGGCGTCAAAATCACGGTGGAGCTGAGACTGCCCTTGTACTTCTGATCCTACCACCTCCACCTTCCCATTGCCGGGATTGGCGAGCTACCACCACGTCCAGTAGTATCTGCGGTGCTGAGAACAGAACCAAGAGCTGACGACTGTGAGCAAGAGCTGGGCCAGCTGAGCCCGACCCACGAGCACAAGTCTCTAAGCTTTGACTGTCACTATTCTGAAGAATAAGGGGGACCAGAACGTGGCACCTGAGAGCACAAAGATGCCGCCCACACAACTATCCAGACTCAGGATGTGGGGACTTCTGCGGAAACTGTAAGGAAAACAAGGTAGGTAGACAGATAAAGAGCCTCGGGAAACACTTGCACGGGCAGTGCATGTGCTTGATTCGAACACACAAACGTGAGTCTTCAGGAGCCAGCTAGAAAACTGCGCACTGTCAAGAGACATGAAGGTATTTCTGAATCCTTGTTCACCACTGAAGGCAGCACCGGCATTTCACACGTGTTTACGGAGAGCTCTTGCTATCTAGAAACAGCGTACAGAGAAGTTAGTGTGGCCTGGCTCTGGGGTCCCACCAAATGTCACCCGCAGAGTGGGCTCCGGCTACAAAACTGGGGAGCTGTCATGGGTGCCCAGGTTGTTTGTTCAGCCCGAAGAAACAGAAGCTCAGCCTAGGTCTGCAGAGCCGAGGAGAGCCAGGGGAGCTGGTTATTGTGGTTGGTACTAATTGCTGGGTATGAAAATGTCTGCCGGAACCAGTGACAGGGACTGGTGCGGCCAGGGCAAAGAAAAGAGCAACCTCTGTGTGAAAGCTTTCGGGTTTAATGGAGGAAGAAGAAAGCGGGAGGAGAGGTGGGGGCGAGGAAAAGGAGGAGGAGGAACAAGAAAGGCAGAAACAGACTGGAGACAGCGCCACCCCGGGCTATGTCTTCTGGCCCAATTCACGATCCCTGCTTACCCAGAAAGTTATACTTGAATCAAATCCATATTTTTCTTGGAGGCACAGCTGTTGAGCACACTGATCTCTTTGATAGGCACTAGAAATCTCCAGTGCTCAGTCAAGGTGGAATAAAAAAAAATGAGCACACTTATCAAAGCGACAAAGTAAGGACGGGCAGGAAATGCTCTACCAGGAATAAGCTGTCCCTGGGGCAGCCCGGCTGTGTTGGTTTAATGATAAGGATCTGTGCACCAAGGTTGTCGTCCTCCTGGTGCAGAGAGCAGGGCTGCCAGTCGGGACTGATGGCCTCTGGCCACACGGATTGGCTCCAAAGGGCATCACTTAGACCCAGGCAAAGGGCAGCCTATCTAGATTTCTGGGTCACAGAGGCTTCCCTGGTTTCTGAATGGGAGCAAAGGGCAAGGGCTAAAATGGAAGAAAGAGGCTGGACCCCTACTTCTTCACACCTAAGACTGGTTGGTTTTCATTTCGTTTAAGACAGTTCTGGGCCTGTAAGCCGGCTCAGCGGGTAAAGGTGCCTGTTGGGAAGCCTGACCCGAATTCGATCCCTCAAATCCGCACGGTGGAAGGAGAGAACTAATCCAGCAAGCAGTCCTCTGCCGACCACACGTGAATTTAAAAAAAAAAAAAAAAGCAAAACTAGAAAACATTCCTGAGACCTCCAAAAATTCTAGATAAATGGCAGAATGTGGGGTTAAATCACTGCAAACAAATTAGGATTTTAGGATTTTACCAGCTAGGAAATATTGCTTTATGTGTTGGATTTGCAGAGAGTCTGACTATATCAAATTTTGTATTATCAAGACTAAATATCTTTTTTTTTGAGTGGGAGGTTTGAGACAGGGTTTCTTCATAGCTTTGGAGCCTGTCCTGGAACTCACTCTGTAGACCAGGCTGGCCTCAAACTCAGAGATCTGCCTGCCTCTGCCTCCTGAGTGCTGGGATTAAAGGTGTGTGCCACCACCGCCCAGCTAAATATCTTCTCGAGACTACCATGTAAAGGAACTGGACCAAGTCCCATGGAGGATATGGTTTTGGAGAATTTTCTCTGGCAGATTTTTATACCACAGCAACCTGAAGAATTACACAAAACAACTTAAAAAGTCTCCACACATTTCCCTCTTTTTATACACGGTCTTGATACTCAGAGTGGTCAGTCTGAGATGTCGCAAAGCTGAGAACGGACTCACTCTAGCGCTGCAAGGCAGCCTAAAGGTTTAAATGGGAGGAATTCTTTTCTTTTCTGTCTCATTCCTTCACAGTAAACAGACGGGTCCAGTGTATCCCCCCCTCTCCTGGAGAAACTCCTTTTAAAAAACCGTTTTCTTGCCTTGCTGGGGGTCAAAACCAGGCTTTGCACAGGTTTAGCCAATGGCCAATGCTGCATTACTGCCCCACACCCTCGGCTCTGCACTGAAGGGCTTGTCATGCTATTCCATGACAAACTCTGCTATCCCAACAGGTCAGGCAAGGGGTCACCCAGAGTCTGGGAGTCTGACACAGCAATGGTCTGATATAGCGAGCTACATTTGGATCCAATCAGAGTCTTTGATGGTTTAAATATCAGGACACAGACAGAATTCAGGTCCAGTACCACATGTAACTGAAGAAAAACAGGTTGCACTAGGCCACCGAGAGCCAGCAGACTTTCCGGTTGGTTCCAGTTACAAGTCTCTTTATGACCCCCCACCCTGGAGTGACTTTGACCAGATTATCTCATTACATTATATGGAGAACATGAAAGGATGCAGTGAGACGTTGTCTTGTTTGTTTCTGAGACTCTGACATTCTTGAGAGATCCCCACCCCCCAGCCCTGAAAATGTTCTTAGTGTTTACAAGGTGGACATTGTCCTTACATTCACATGTAAGAGGGACCAATAAATAATACATTAGCTACCATTTCCAGTCTTTTCCTTCTGCCTTGGACATCTCTCTCCTGCCTCCCTTTCCTCTTTCCTCTTTGTGGAAGAAATGAGCAATGGAAAACTTATTTTTAGGAAATACAACCATCCCTGGGTAGAAACAACATCTAACTGTTGCTGGGAGATGGTCTATGAAAGGAACAACAGAGCTAAGGAACTTTGGAGAAAAGCTTAATCTCAATCATTTAGACCTATAGGACAGAAGCAAAGTAACTGTCCCCAACCCCACATAAAACAAACAAACAAACAAACCATTCCCACAAGCCCTTATGAAGGGAATACCGAGGACTCCCAACCAACAATCATACGCAGCTCTTTATTAGAAACCGCTCCCCAGACAGGATCCTCTTCAGGTGGGAGCTCTCTCTGCTTTGTGTATGAACCTCTTCCATGGTCTAAGAAAAGACTCCAGCCAGGATGAGTGGCTGGCCTTTCTTCAGGACATCCTTGATGAATCAAATATCGTTCCCCACAAAGGTGCCCGCTACAATTTCAAAAGCAAGGTCTGGGGAGCTGGTTCAGTGGCTGAAGTTCTTGCCACAAAAGTGTCAGGCCCCAAAATCATTTCCCCGGAACACATGTAAAAGAAGTTGGGCCCCAAGGCGAGTGTCTGCAAGCCAAACACTGAGGAGAGAGAAACAGGAGGATTCCTGGGGCTGGCAAGCTTAAGGTTCAGTGAAAGATGTCTTTTTTTTTTTTTTTTTTTTTTTTTTTTTTTTTTTTTTTTTTTTTTTTTTTTTTTTTTTTTTTTTTTTTTTTTTTTTTGGTTTTTCGAGACAGGGTTTCTCTGTGGTTTTGGAGCCTGTCCTGGAACTAGCTCTTGTAGACCAGGCTGGTCTCGAACTCACAGAGATCTGCCTGCCTCTGCCTCCCCAGTGCTGGGATTAAAGGCGTGCGCCACCAAGAAAGATGTCTTTAAAGTAAGGCGAAGCTCGGTGTGGTGGCGCATGTCTTTAATACTAGCACTTGGAGGAAGAGGCAGAGGCAGGCAGAACTCTGAGTTCGAGGCCAGCTTAGTTTCCAACTTGAGTTCTAGGACAGTCAGGGCTACAGTAAGGTGGGGTAAACATGGGGACACACACTTTTAACCCAGCACTCAGGAGTGTAAGTGTTGCAGTTCTTGGGAAAGGCTTCCCCAATGGGAGGGTTGCAGCTCTGAAGAGACAGGTTTCTCCTCTGTGTCACAGTTCTGAGGGGAAAGGTATCCTGGCAGTCGGGAGCCAAGGGATACCACAAAGTCACACTGCATACCAAACCTCCCACAAGAGATTTATCGGGAAAGACACAGGAGGGTGATTGCCTCTGCTGGGGAGAAGCTGCAGAGAATTTAGCAGGAGGCAGGCTTATTTATACAGGGTTCTTGTTGGGGAGGGGTTTTCCTGGGTGAAGATTTCCAGGATGAGGGTTGGTGAGGTTTCAAGCCAAATCCAGGGATTGGTGGCATTTTGTGCTCAGGGATTGGTGTGTTTTGGTAGATTTGGAAGTGGGCTTGGATCTTTTACCCTACAAGAAGGCAGAGGCAAGAGGATGTCCACGTGTTGGAAGCAGGCCTGATCTACAGAGAGAGTTCTACCAGCAAGGGTTACATAGTGAGACCCTGTCTGAAAAACAAACCAACGAACCAACATTGGAGAAGTGATTGAGGAAAATATTTGATATTGATTTTGGCCTTACTCCCACCCTCATGCCCAATCCTGTGGCACACACACACACACACACACACACACACACACACACACACGCTAATCCAGAAAGGCAGAGATCTGACACAGCTGACCAATGGCATGTTTCTGGTAGCTGGTATTTTCTGGAAGCCAGGCAGACTTGGAGAGGGACAGCAGAGGAGCTTCAGGAAAGGAAGAGGTCTCAAGGGGCCCTGAGCAGGTGTGGCACCGCGGGTGAGGCCGCAGAGGCCGGCTGGGGGCTGGACACTTCTTTTCTATTTACTTTGGCTGGGTGTGATCTCTACTGTGTGTATTTCATGAATGGCCCTGGGAGGGTTCCTCAACACAGACAAGTGTTTACAGCTAAGTAAATGTTAACATCCACTAGCAAGTTCTCCACGTTCTTAAAATTATGGCGGCGTAGTGTTTATTCTTTCTATTTTTGAATATGTCAGATATTTAAATATTGAACACTGAATGCCTGGTCCCTTGTCCCTCCAAGAGAGGGGTACCGAAACGCACGAAGTAAACATTATATAGAGCTTTGTTTGACAGGCTGATTTATTTCAAAATCAACAAGCTGGCTGAGGGAAGTTCAGGGTATTAATTTCACATTTTTATTAACCTTTAATGAGCCCATGTGGTTTCTTCAAAATCTATATTACCTGTGCAAAGAAGTCTGTTCACTAGCGACCGAGCTTCTGATCTTAGTACAGAACCAACATTCATTTCCTACAGAGGCCAGTTTGAGTGAATGTAAAAATCCAGGACCGTTAACCTCATGAGTAGAAGACCTCATCGTCCCACCATTTCCCATACTGTCCATCAAACGCATAGGCTGAGCACACACCAATGCTAATGGAGACGGAGAGGTGGATGGGTAAAAGCACAGTGCTTTTAATACTTTCTTTGGTAAAATTTTACACACATAGTAGGCACACTTACAAGTAACTATTTTACTGACTGAGTGAGTATTTTTACTTGTATATTAGCAAATATACAAATTATTTGTTAAAAAGGTATGTTTCAGGTTAGGGAGACGGCTTAATAGGTGAAGTGCACGCTAAAACAAGTGTGAGGATGGAGTCACACGCCCTGCACCCATATACAATGTCAGGACTTGGAGTCTCACCACTGGAGAGTAGGAGACAGGTGGGTCCCTGGGCTCCCTGGGCAGCCAGCCCTGTCCAGCTCCTGAAGAATGATGCTGAAGTTGACCTCTGGCCTCTAAGAGCATATGCTCACACGGGTACCCACAAGAGTGCAGACTCATATGAACACGCACCTGCGTAGAGAAAGAAAGGAGAGACCAATTCCAGTTAACTGTCTTTCATGATTAGCTCGTTAAGAGAAAGTCTGGTTGGCTGAACACAGCCATTTAGCCAGGCTTTCTGGGTCAGAAAAAGTGCAGGCTGGTCATCCTATGGTTCAGGATGTCATTCTTTACTCAGCAAGAGACTATGGTCAGGGTGGTTTCTGTTAGAGGAGGGGTTTCGAACATTGAGAGTGATGTGTTCTGTATGAGGACATCTCTGGTTCTCTGTGTGGGAAATCATGCCAGTGTTACTCGTCCACTAACTTTGTTCAAATGAATTCTAAAACTACCGAGTCAACAGGAATGGGAAAATGCTGATTTATTATTAGCAAGATCTTTTTCGTATTAACTGATCGGTTTATGTGAGTGCGTGTATGCATGTGGTGTGTACACATGTGTGTACAGATACAGAAGTCAGATGAAGAAGTCTGTATTGTGCTTGGTCACTCTCCATTTCATCCCTTTGAGACTGAACCTGGAGGTAGCCAAAAGCCCCACCTGACCCTCCTGTCCCCATCACCCAGCCCTGGGTTTACAGAGATGTGAGTGGCCACATCTGAGATCAGAACTCAGACCCTTGTATGTGCACAGAAAACCACTCTTACCCACTGAGATATCTACCCAGCCCTTATATTTCCTTGATTTTTCTATTCACATTTCACTTGCCAAACAACAATATGAATATGATATTCCTTTTTTTTCCATGTTAGAAAACACATCGGAAATAAAGTTTTTTAAAAATATTTATTTATGTATACAATATTCTTTCTATGTGTATGCCTTCAGGCCAGAAGAGGGCATCAGACCTCATTACAGATGGTTGTGAGCCACCATGTGGTTGCTGGGAATTGAACTCAGGACCTTTGGAAGAGAGGCAATGCCCTTGACCGCTGAGCCATCTCTCCAGCCCCAGGAAATAAAAGTTTTACCTTTCCCTTCTCCCCCTCTTTTCTATGCTAAGGTCAAACCCAGGTGTCACCTTACTAGGCAAATATACCACAGCCCAAGAGTGCCGCTTTGATGATCACGTCACACCTGTGGTTGAACCCCACAACCTTGTTCTATTCTTATCTTTTTATGCTTAGCTTAGCTTGAACACTTTTTTTATGTTTGCTTTAGTTTTGGGTTTTTGAGACGGGTTCCCCTGTGTGTAACCCTGGCTGTCTTGGAACTCACTCTGTAGACCAGGCTGGCCTCAAACTCAAGAGATTCACTTGCCTCTGCCTCCTAAGTGCTGGAATTAAAGGCGTGCGCCACCACACTCTCAGCTTGTTCTTTATTTTTCTATGGACTTGTTTAGGAAAGAGTTTCAATATTATCTGGGGAAATATTCATATCTCTGGAACATTTCTACTCCAAGAAAAGGTTGGGGCAGCTCGGCTGCTGTGAGGAAGGTAAGCTAGTGTAGAAGGGGAGAATGAATGTTCTCTTTTGACTTAACTTCCCAGTTCTGCGAACAAGTGTAACAGATTGCTGTTGGGGCGACTTAACTTCAGCAGAAGCGGGAGGTAGAGCTGCCCATACCCTCAGGTAAGTCTGGCTCTGTCTGCAGGGCCTGTGCTTAAGCCTCCTGCAGCTGACTGCAGAAAGAGAAGGTTCTCTGCCTTTTCTTTACCCTTCACTTTGTGCTGAGTCTCTCCAGCTTAGGGGCAGAAAGGTACCTGGAGCTAACTAGAAGGATGGATTCCGGCATCCTGACCCCGGAGGTTCTAATCTGGAAGTTCTGACATGCTAGGAATTAATTTTTTGTTTGTTTGTTTATTTGTCCCCCCCCCCCAAGACAGGTTTCTCTATAGCTTGGGAGCCTGTCCTGACACTAGCTTTTGTAGACCAGGCTGGCCTCGAACTCATAGAGATCCGCCTGCCTCTGCCTCCCAAGTGCTGGGATTAAAGGTGTGTGCCATCACTGCCCGGTTAGAAATTCATATTTTTAATGTGTTCCTTGAGGGATTCTGGGAAAATCGCATTTTGAAAGATGTTGCATTGGAAACTCCATAGGTGTTTTTGTAGGGGTGGAGTGGGTGGAGTGGGAGGGCACCTAGATGAAACACTCTATTTAAAAACAGCGGGTTTTAGTTGGGTGTGGTTGTGCACACCTGTTCTCTCTGCTACTCAGGAAGCTGAGGTCTGGGAGAGGAGCTCAGGAGTTTGTGGCCAGCCTGGGCAACATAGTGAGTTTCAAAATATTTAAAATGGGCCTGAGAAGTTTGTTCAGTCGGGAGAGTACTTGCCTTCCAAGCGTGAGAACTTGAGTTCTATTTCCAGACTCCAGTTTTTTGTTTGTTTGTTTGTTTTGTTTTGTTTTTTAAAGGAGGGTATAGTGATGCGGGCTGGAGAGAGAGGCTCACTGCCTGCTTGGCGCATCCAAAGCGGTCTCAGAGATTCAAGGTGGGCTGCTCCTGACATTTTCATCTAGCTTCCACATACGCGCACACACACACCTAAAACATGGGCTCTCTGACTCTATCAGCAAGTCAGGTTTCAGCAAACACCTTCCTTACGAAGGTTGAGGGGCTTGTTCCCCAGCCCTTCCCCGCTGCTGCTGATCCGGGAAGGTTCCTTCCTCTTTCTCCCTCCTCCCCTTCTCCTCTTCTGCCTTCTTCTTCTGGTTAAAGCTATGTTATCCCAGCTGGCCTCACGTGTCTGGGCTCAGCAAGTCTCAGTCTTAGCCTCCTGAGTATCTGGGATGCACACGGTGCCACCCATTGTAGTGAATGCATGGACCTGACCGTCCCTCTCTGTTGTTATGCTCTCATTAGGACCTTCTAGAATACATCTAGAATCTCGTTTCCCCTCCCGCTGCTATATTAGGAAACACTAATTTGAGCGTATATCCCTGAGACAGGTCAGGGAGTTGGTGGGGAGGTCTTTGGGCATCTGCCAAGGGCCTGACGGAGCCGGAATTCTAGGAGTTAATTAGGACCTGGCTTATTGCCTTGTAGATTCGAACACCCAATTTTTGTCAACAAACAAGATTGAATCTGCTCTGTGACGAGGTTCATGTTAACCAAATTCATAGCACTGTGAACACACAGCCTCACGTCACGGATTTGTTTACAGTTAGCGAAGGAGCTAGAACATTTACATTAATGTGGAATCTCCCTACACACAAGTGGTTTGGGAAGCCCCGTTACAACCAGAAAGCTGCTTTGTGGGCAAGTTAGAATAAGGGAAGTCAAATACACAATTTGCTTTCTGAGGAAACTGGGCCTGCTTCTTGGATTTCCACAGTTGAGATGACATTCCTGGCCTTGCAGACTGAACTATGCCTTCTGAGGGGCACGTTCATTTTGTGAATTTGTTAAAACAATGAGTTAAATTTCACTCTGAGAAGAAAATAATTTCATTTCTTTAAAGTGATTTCGCAGGGCCCATGAGAGAATGCTTGCTATATAAGTATGAGTCTGAAGCATAGAACTCATATAAAAAAGCTGGGCAGGGGAGGGCTTATTTGTAATCCCAGGGCTGGGGAGAGGGAGAGAGGAAATCACTAGGGCCTCCTGGCCAGTCAGGATAGCCTACTGTGCAAGTTTCCGATCAGCATGGGATCCAGTCTCAAAAAGCGGCTCCTACGGCGCCAGAGGAACCACACCCGAGGTCGATCTCTGGCCTCCACACCTGGGCACGCCCGTAAACAGAAAAGTGACTTTACCCCCACCCCACAGCTTCTCTCTCTCTCCCTCTCCCCCTCCCTTTTTCTCTCTTTTACTTTACAGCTTTTCTCTTCCTTTTTGTTGGTTTTGCTAGTAATTCTTAGAAAGCCATCTCTATCAGTTCATACCCCGTTACTAATAACACAATACCACAGGCTGGGAACGTCTTAAAGAAAAAGGGTTTTTAGCTGAACGTGATAATACACACCTAATTCCAGCACTCGGAAGCAGGAGGCACAAGAACTGCCGCAGGTTTGAGACCAGCCTGGTCCACAAAGCAAACTCTCGGCCGGGGGAAGGGAAGTATGGGGGAGGGTGATATATCTCTTTTGTCTCATATTCCGGCCAAGAGCATCCGGCTGAGAAGATAGCCTTCTTGATGACAGAGTTCTACACATGGGAAGAGACAAGAGAACATAGATTGTGTTTACTGGTTCCTTCCTCTCGTCTTATGAAGCCATCAGTACTCAAACCTAAGCCTAGACCCACTCCCAAAGGTCCCATAGACACGGCAGGGTTTTTAGTACCTCCCAATCCTCCCAATAGGCTAGGAACTCCACCATGGGTTTGGAGGGCACAAGCCCAGGACCCCCACATTATTCTTTTCCTAAGTTATGCACAGAGTAAGAGTTTGGGGTCCTCGGTCAGTTAGTGCACAGCTACCCCGTAGTGGGTTCTGTAACTCCCACTTTTCAAAGAAAATCAAAAGATGCTCAAAAACACAACACCCCATTTCTTTTGCCTTTGGCACAGAATATAAAATATGTCAGGATATTTGTGTCCCTTTTATTTTTTACAAGGTTTTATTTTTATTTTGGTGTATGTCTGTTTGTACATATGTTCACAGGCATGCAGGAGACCGTGGACACCAGAGGAGTCCATTAGAGCTGGAGCTGAGCAGTGGCAGGCAGTTGTGAGTCACCCAGTATGGGTGGTGGGACCCGAACTCAGTCCTCCGCAAGAGCAGCAAGCGTGTTTGGCTTCGAGCTCTCCCTCTGGCCCTCATGCCTCTTCTTAGATGTAGGCGTCTCTTGCACTGACGGTGGGGCCTGTGCACTGTGCTGCCCGCCGAGCTGCTGGCCCTTGTGTGGCGTGGGACACTTGAGTGCGTGATTCTTTTAAACGGAAGGAGCTCTATTTGCACAGCACAGCTCTTCCACTGCTAGTGGGTTCTGTCTGTGCTAAGAAACAAGCAGCACTGCTGGAGCATAGCCACAGGCAGGCATGCTTCTCAGCATGCTGCAGACCCTGCATTGGTCCCCAGTGCTGGTTGGGAGGAGGAGCAGAAAGCACTGTCTCTGTCATGACCCCTGCCCTCCAGGTCTTTCTTGGATCCTGGCTGCAGAATACAGAAAGTCACTTTGGTCCAGTTTGAGGAAGCAGAAACAACCAAGGGCATGAAATCAGCTCCCCCTCTGGAGTAAATGATACATTTACACTTAATGGACACCCATTTTACCCTTTGCCGTCCTGAATCTGCCTCATTTGGTACACTTGGCAAACTGGCTCACTACTTTTCCACCTCACAGCAGCGAGCATGGCCGCACAAAGTTCCTGCGATTTTATTTCCTCCACTCAACATACCAGCTGGGCTGAGGCTGCGTTTGTCTGTCGGTGTTCCTGCCAAACTGGCGAGGTGCCAATTGCCCTAGGGTGGCCTAGGTGTGCAGCCTTGTTCTGGATCACCTGACGGAGGACAGGTCAGCCTGAGCTGGATGAAGTTCTGTTGTTTATGTCTGTGTGGCTCAAGAGGAAAAGGGACCAGATAAGAAGTGGGGCTTGGGGAGAGAAGCCCATGGGAGGTGACCACAGTGCTCACCCAGTCACTTGGTGACCTGGTCCTTTACTGAGTTGTGTATGTGTCTCTCTAGCCTCCTTTGATGGAAGTTTCCTTATCTTGTGTTCCATTACACAGGACTCTGCTGCTAGGTGACTAATCTGATATAGACAGCAAACGACAGCGAAGACTCAGAACATCAGTTTCCTCACTGAGCAAGTGAGGACAAAATGGCCTACCTTGAGCCAGGTGTGGTGACACGTACCTTTAATCCCAGCACTTGGGAGGCAGATTTCTGTCATTTCGAGCTCTATAGAACAGGTTCAGGGACAGTCAAGATTATTACACAGAGAAACTGTGCCTCGAAAATCAAAAATAAAAACAAAAAAGGCCAGTCTGGAAGTGGGGGGTTAGAGATTAGTAATAAAAATTAACGTCAACAATACTTATTTCCTCCTAATAAACACATTTTTCAGTTTAGTCTATGGATATCAATGAAACTGACTTGTCTTCTGGGTCATTTGACATGTGTCAGAATGCAGGGATACACAGACTCTTAGTGACCCTCAAATCATAGAGCAGAGTTCCATGTCCTTTCAAATAGTAACGTGTGATTATGTGAATGGATGGTGTGTGTGTGGATGTGTGTGCCACGGCACACGTGAGAAGTCAGAGGACAGCCTGTGAAGCTAGTCCCCCTTAGACCTTCCATGGGTTCCAGGTACCGGACTCGGGGTGTGCATGGCAAGTGTCTTTATCCCGAGTCATCTTGCCGTCTCTGTATTATTTTTAAAAATATCACCAAATTTATCCTGTTTATAATTCAGATTTGAGAAGAAAGGATAAACCATTCTCATATTCAAGGGTAAGAATCTATCGAACTTCAGGGACCACAGAGATCTATAGGGACCCACGGAGACCCACAGAGCCCACAGAGATCCACAGTCAAATATGGGGGAGACGAACTCGGGGAATCCTGCAGAAGAGAGGGAGGAGGACTCCGTAGGAGCCAAAGGAGTCAAGAAAACCCACAGAATCAACTAATCTGGTTCATAGGTGTTCACAGAGTCTGAACCAACAACCAGGGAGCCTGCCTGGGGCTGATGTAGGCCCTTAACATGTATGTGACGGTTGTGGTCTACTTGCTGTCCCTGATGCTTTGGCAGGCTTTGGGGACCCTATTCCTCACACTGGATTGCCTTGTCCTCTTAATACAAGGGGAGGAGCTTAGTCTTACTGCAACTTGATATGCCATGCTTTGTTGATGTTCATGGGAAGCCTGGCTTTTTCTGAACAGAAACAGAGGAATGGATTAGGGGAGGGGGTGGAGGGGCACAGAGTGTGTATGTGTGGAGGAGTGGGGAGAGGAGAGTTGAGGGGGGGACTGTGGCCAGGATGTAAAATAAATTAAATTTAAAAAATGTATCAAACGGCAGGATCTTGAGAACAACTTTTTGCCAATGTCCTGATCTGTAGAAAAGGTAATAATAGCTGCAGAGTCATAGGATTGTCATAGCAATTAAATTTGTTACGTTCGTGAAGTGCTCAGAATAGAACTTAGCAGAAGGAAACACCATATATGTGTTAACAATTAATATTACTTTTTTAATTTATGGTTTCTTAAACTTTAAGTTGTAATATGTCAGCAACGAATGGAAATGCAAAGATGGATTTCTTCCAAAACAAAACAAAACACCCACAGAGCCTTGAGAAGTCAGGCATAGTGGTCTGCACTTGTAATTCCAGTTCCTGGGAGGCAGAGGCAAAAGGGTTATTTTAAGTTCCAGGCCAGCCTGATCTACATACCAAGTTGCCTTCCAGCTGGGGTACCACAGGGAGACACTGTCAAAAATTTTAACTTTAAATTTTTTAAAAATGATTTATTTACTTTTGTTTTATGTGCATTTTTTTTTGTTGTTTGTTTTTTGCCTGAATGTATGTCTGTGTGAGGGTGTTAGATCCTCCTGGAGTTACAAGCAGTTGTAAGCTACCATGTGGTTGCTGGGAATTGAATCCAGGTCCTCTGGAAGAACAGCCAAAGTTCTTAACCACTGAGCCATCTCTCCAGCCCATTTTAATTTTTAATGAAAATCACTTTATTGTAAAAACTTTCAAATAAAATATCACATACCTAGATTAACTTAGCCCTTCAAACAAGCACTTATTTGAATCCAAGATTTCTACATCCCAGTAAACATCTACACAGTTAGAAAAACCGCGAAAAGAAGCACAAAGAAGTGCATTGTAACTAATAAGAAGACTCGTCACTGAGGGCTGTCGTGGTGGTTTGAAAGAAAATGGCCCCAGAGGAAGTGGCACTATTGGGAGGTGTGGCTTTGTTGGAGGACGTGGGTCACTGTGGGGTCGACTTTGAGGTCCTCTATGCTCTCGGTACACTCAGCGTGGCACACAGTTGCTTCTGCTGCCTGCAGATCAAGAAGCAGAACTCTCATCTCCTTCCCCAGGCACCAAGTCTGTCTGCATGCTGCCATGTCACCTGCCATGACAATAGTGGACTAAACCTCTAAAATGTAAGCCATCCCAACTAAATGTTTTTCTGTATGAGTTTCTGTCGTCATGGTGTCTCTTTACAGCAATAGAAAACCTAAGAAGCTATGAAATACGAGCCCAACCCATGAGTTTCAATATTTGTCTTTTTGCCTATTACGAATCAGTCCTTATTATTTATTTGAATTCCACCAAGAAGAGAGGGAACGAGAGACAGAAGCTGCCCTGGTGCTGGTCAAGTGCCTACGGTTCTAACTCCGGTTCTGCTCCCCAGGAGGGACGAGTTTCCAGGTGATGACCTAAACTCACAGGGATCTCAGGGTCCCTCGGTCAACCTTGCCTAAGCAGTGAGCCCTGGGACAATAAAGAAACCATGTTTCAAAAAACAAGGCGACCGGCATCTGACGAAGGACACCTGAGGTTGATCTCAGATATATGTTCGTGCACACACACAAGTAGTCATACAATCCCTAGAATTAATAATAACACATATTGAATGTGACTCTTACACTACTTTTAGTTTTTTTTTTTTTTTTTTTTTTTTTTTCAATTTAAAAACCGAGAAGTTGGTGGTTAGGCATTTAGCTCAGTGGTTGAGTGCTTGCCTAGCAAGTGCAAGGCCTTGGGTTCGATCCAGAAAAAAAGATTGAGAACTTAGAGGCTGGAGAAATGGCTCAGTAGTCAAGAACACTTGCTGTTCTTTCTGAGAGAACCTGGATTTGATCCCCAGCATCAGTAGGCTGCTCACAACCATTTGTGAATCCAGTTCCAGGGCACTGACGCCGCCTTCTGGCTTCCTCACGAGCCAGGCTTGGAAGTGATGCACAGACACACATGAGGTAAAACACTCATACACATAAAATAGTAAATATAAAAAGTCGAACAGTCTAACATCTAGCAAGAATTTCTCTTTTTGGGTATTTCCTGTCTATCTTCTCTTCCTTCCATTCTAGTTTTAGGATGGTTAGTTAAAACCTGGGGTGGGGCTGGGGGTGGGGGAGTCTGTTGTGCAGGGAGAGGAGGCTAACTTTCTCATCGTTTGTTTGTTTTTAAGGCATGAAAGTGAGAACCGGGGCCTTGTTAATCCAGTTCTGACTTGGCAGATAGGAAGAGGCCATGCAGGGAAGAAAGCCTGGGCAGTGATGGAAGGAACTTCTCACTGCTGAGGACGGCAGCACTGAGCAAATATGGGAGAGAGGATTGTACAAGGAAAAGGACGGGAAGAGGAGGGGATGCTGTGTGGAAGGCAACGTGCATTGTTCTCGCAAATCGTCCTGACACATGGGTAAATGAAACGCTACAGGAAAAGCCAACGAGGTGGAAGGGAGCAGGGTGCAGGACCTCCAGCACTGCCGATGCTGCGAACAAGTTTTTTCAATGGAACATGCTGTCGTTGGGGAGCAAGAATAATTCGAGGCTACAGTTGACTTCTCTTTGCAAAAGAGCAGAGGTACACACACACACACACACAATTTTCTTCTAGACAGGTGTAGCCGTAGCTATCCTGGGAACTTGCTCTGTAGATTAGGCTGGCCTGTAGACCAGGCTGGCCTTGAACTCCGCCTCCTGAGTGCTGGGGTCAAAGCTGTGTACCACTACTGCCCAGCACTAGAAGGTACATTTTAAAAAGACAAATCACTGTTTACAGTTTTTAACATTTGACTTCTCTTCCCCCACCATTATAAAAACAAAACTGACTTGTATCACACTCTTTCTCACCTTCATATTCCTATAAACTAATATTACTAGGTTATTATCAATGTGGTGGGAGAGTGGGGGAGGGGAGAGGAAGCATGATCATTATGAAAGAATGACAGAGTAGGGCTGGGAAGCACAATCTCTAGCTACGAGTAACAGGGTATTCAAGAGCCCCTGGGATCCTTAGAAGGCAGGTGCTATATATGCAAATGACCTAGAAAGATGTTTCCTCTCTCTCTAGCCCACTTCCATTCTGGGGAGTGCTTTTTTCTTACTTAATACTGTTTCCGTTTCTATCAATACCCATGTGTGGCCCTAGTCCCCCCCCCCCTTTTTTTTTTTATTGTTGTTCTTGAACACCAGATCCTAGAAGTTTCAGGGAGAGCACCTTTGGACTAAGAGCCTCATCTACAGCTTCGATAAAGAGTGGCATACTTTATCTCAGCTAAAAGGCCAAGGAAAGCAAAAATTAGTAAATTAAGACAAAGGGGAAGTATTTGCCCCAAACTATTAGGTCATAATGAAGGGCTGTCTTCAAGTGTGAAGGAGACAATCTGCTTCAGGTGTGCACTACTCTGGTGTGAAGAGTCCTGGAATGCTCAGGGTCACACAAAACTTATTTGAGTCAATGGCATGAGTCCTTACCTCCCAAAGTCTAAGAATGAAATTCACAGAAAGTAAGAAGAGCAAGTTAGAAGGTAGTATTATAAAGAGAAGCTTAAAGAAGAAAGATTGCAGAGAAGCAGAGCTCTGGGTAGCAAGCACAGCTCAAAAGGCCACCCAAGAAAGGTTGGATTAGCTCTAAGGGGATGCAAGGGAGGGACAGTCATTGAGATGTCTGTCTAGGGGTGCACACTTGCTTCCTGCTTGCTAGCTTTCCTGCTTGCTCTTTTCTTCTTGTGGCACAAACTAGACAAAGAAAATTTCCATCCGGATTGGTTAGTGCTCTGAGCATACCATAAGCTGAGCCAGTACAGAGCCCATGCCCTGAGCCAGCCCGAGAGATAATCATGGACACACACACATGCTCAGGTAGGGAGTGGTCACAATCTGAGGTCCTCTTCTGCCTGTCTCTGACTTGCTTTGTCCATCTTGGACTCCTGGTCATTAGTTCTGACAGGCATTGCTTGTCTGACATTGCAGGTGTCCTTGAACAGGTCTGCTAGCTGCTTATCCGCCTATGCTCTTTCCCCTTACATATGAGGCCAGCTTGCAGTTTATCACAGGCCTTTCCCTCCACTGTCTAGTGATAGCTAACATCACAGTGACCAGATGAGGCTGTTGTTCTCACTGGTCCCCTCGTGTCACCTCCTCATCTACCCGATGACCGTTTCTGGGGTAGGTGGAGCTTTCTGTCGAAAGCCATCCTGCAGTCTGTATAGTCAGCTGCATTAGAAGCGAGACTCTGTGAAAGGAGGACACTGTCTTGTGTATGTTTTTCATACATACATACATACATACATACATGCATGCATGCATACATACATACAGGAGCCAGCCAGCCTGCAAGCACTGACTTGGAATCCTGTGCTTTCTCTTGTCACTTGCTCATCTCCTATCCAGCTTTAAGCCTCGTTTTACCTTCCTCAGGGTTCCCAACCTCGCCCTAGTAACCCTAACCTGTGTTTTTAATACAACAGGACAGAACTTGCTTCCTCATTTGTAGCTTCTAGACTCTTGGTGTCCACTAGCACCAGGTGGCCACAACTACTGATGAAGGTATTCTAAGGTGTCTAGTCCCAAGCCTTTGGGATCTTTTCTGTACTATCTAATGGGGGAGACCCAAACACTGGGCAAGGCCCCTCTCCATCAATTGGAATTCTTAGAACCCTGGCATGCTGTCACAGGTGTTTGGCTCAGCTCCAGCTGGCAGCCATGAAGGTGAGTGTAATCTATAGGATGCTATTTACTGGCTATGTACTTAATTTTTCAACACTGATGAAGACTACCAATACGTGTAACCATAATGCTCATTACCTCATTATACTTATTTTTTTCTTTCGTGTGTGGACGAGTTCCCTGTGTGCAGGTGCACGTGTATACACCTGCAAGTGGAGGCTGGGGATTGACAATGGGTGTCTTTTCAGTGCTGGTTTGAATAAGAATGGCCCTCATAGGCTTATACATTTGAATGCTTACTCACCAGGGAGCAGACAGTTTGAAAGCATTGGAAGGATTAGTAGGTGTGGCCTTGCTACAGGAAGTGTGGCACTGGGGGTGGGCTTTTATGTTTCAAAGATCCAGACCAGGTAATCCCCACTCTGCCTGCAGATCAGGAGGAAGCGCTCACTGCTTCTGCAGCACCACGCCATGCCTGCCATCATGCCTCCTTATTTTATTTGGGAGAGTTTTGTCTGTATGGATACATGTGTATCATATGTATGCTAGGTGCTCCGGGTCAGAAGAGGACAAGTGATGCCCTGGAGACAGAGTTGCAGACCAAGGTGAGACACTGTGTGGGTGCTGATAACTAAACTCAGGGCCTTTGTAAGGACAAGATGGCGCTGATGAGCCATCTCTACAGCACTTTCACCTTGCTTTTTGAGACAGGATTTCCTCCTGAGCCTGAGCTAATGGATCCAGTTAGGCTGGGTGGCTGAGGGTACTGCCTTCTCTGTCTTTCCTCGGGGTTACAGATGAGTTTTATGTAGGGACTGGGGAAATCAAATGCAGGGCCACAGCTCATACAGTACACACTACACAAATGAGCTCTCTCCCTAACCCCCATGATTTTCCCACAAGGCCTGTATTTTCTCTGTCCAGATCTGTTTGTGGAATAATGAACCATCATCTGTTTTCAGGAGATATGGTCTCTTTGTAGTGTAGACTAGCCTCTTTCTATGTAGCAGAGGATGACTTTGAACTTCTGATCCTCTTGCCTCCACCTCCTGAACGCTGGGATTACCTGTTTGTGCAGTGCTATGGTTCAACCCAAGACTAGATGTGTGCCAGGCAAGCACTCTATCAACTAGGCTGCATCCACACCCCTAATTTTACGTTTGTACATTTTATTGATAATTCTGAAAACCCTAAAGTGGTCTTAAAGACGTGGTTTAGAAGAAGCCTACTGGTCTGCAGCAGTGTTATGCAGACTGGCTCTGCTTAGGTTTACTTGTATTCCAAGCTGGGAATTCAAGGGCAAAGGAAATTTTATTTTGTAATTGAAGAATAATGTTGCAAATGCTCCCAAAGCTTGGTTTTGGTTGGTTCTAGCCACATAGCTGTGACTAGTTTCTCAACTGTTATATACCTAAAATCAGACACAAAAGCTCCTTTTCTCAAAAATAGATTCCTGGAGAGAGCAGAACAGAAGAAAAAATGTATTTGGTTTTCTAAAAGGTCTATGTATTGTCCAATTAATTTGTTTCTTAGGCCTTTGGCCATGGTAGCAAGGAATAACTTTTATAGGTGCTAAGAGGATTACTAAATAATTGAAGTTTCAGAATCGCTTAACACACACACACACACCTCTCAGTTATCTTGTTTTCTAAGTTTGTTTCTTCTGGCCCGATACAGAGCCAGGTGCAAGGTGACCAGATGCTTAGTCTCAGGACTGTCCTGGCTTTCACCTCGGCTCTCCAGGCAGACCTCTGAATATTCCGGCGGTTAGGGCATCTATTCCCCTAGACACGCAGATGCTGCTCTCCCCCACTGGCTCTGCACAGAACATCATTATCTTTGCTGAGCTTCTGTCTCTATGGCAATAACAGATGGGAAGTGCTGTGGAATTATTCATGTTCACACAGGCAAGCAGTCAA